CTACAGGGTGTCCCAAAAAACATGGGAATTCAGTGACGAATTGTATATCGTCTTTGCTATGAATTAGCATTGTAATACCTAATTTCAAAAGCCATAATATTATTATGTCTGCTAGAGTTTATTTTATGAAAAGGGTAAAAGACTGTAAAGATGTGTCTATAATGCCTCTGCAAGATAAACAGTGAAAACGGACAAGTTTTCTCTGTTTGAATACTGCAATTTTCTTGTTTTACTAAGTACAACCGTAAACATAAACAAACAAAATGTAAACATAGCAGACGAAACTCTTACAGATTAAAGCTTTCTCAGTTGGTATCACTATACTAAATCAAAGAAGTATTTAAAAAGACGACATCGAATTCGTCAATAAATTCCCATGTTTTTTGGGACACCCTGTATAATAGAACTTTCATATAAAAATGTTATCTGTCTCTTTAGTATCAAACAACTTATCAAATTATGGAAGAAGACATTTTAAACTATTCACCAACTGCCATGTTTGGTGGGACACCCTGTATTTTTGCATGCATAATACATGTTTAGGGAAAATATGCATCTATTCAGGCATTATTCAAAATCTCTTACGGAATTTTTAAAAAAGTTTAAAAGTTTTAGTATCTCGAATTTACTGACGAATTTTCATATTTAATTCATACATATATCACATTCACAAATATCACAAAAAATTGGAATCTTCACACGGTTCGACGGTTTAAGATAAACTTGAAACATTCGAATTAAAACTCATTTAGGAAAATAAAGTGGTAACTGGCGAGTCAGGATAGTCGCTACAGTCGTTGTCGCAAATATCAATACAAAAAAAAGACGACTTTCTAAATTTCAATTTAGATTTATACCGAGCTTACAAACAAAAGAAGCACTCAAACATTTAAGCAAAGAGAATTTGTCAAATAAAAGCTTCTTTTTGTACTTGTATAAACTTCGAAAAATGCTTATTAGAATTCAAATCATTATTAATAAAAGTCTTCTTCATTCGATGATAAAATCGCCTTTCATTGTAGATAATACATATATAATAAAAATTATAGTTTTAGGTTCAAGGAAGTTCCTACAGTTATGAGGCACATTTCTAAGCTTTTATATGTAAAAATAATTTGTGATTTTTGAAAAACTCGAAGTAATGTTAAATATAAAATAAAAATTACACTTCTTTGATTTCATCAAACGTTGTAGAGAATGAAATCTCCGAAAGAGGATTAGAAAATCCGCAAATCAGTAGCGTTAGAGTCTGGAACCATTGAAGACCTACTCATCTTCCTTTCCTATATACACTCGTTATTTATCATGTATTTATATCTGAAGCAACAAATGAACCATGTCCAAAAACACAGCCTACTGAGTCCTGAGCTGAAAACTTTAGAATGAGATATCCTTACTCCCGACTACTTAATTAATCTGGAGATTAATAACAAGAAGAGAACAAGCGTAATTTGTATCTCGAGATTAAGAAAAAGAGTCGATTAAGCATTAATACCGAAATCCACCATTCAAAAGTTCACAGCTCTGGTCAGAAACAGTTCAAGCATTGGACTAGGATGACAATCTCAAGCATGAACATCTTGTCCACGAATTTACTCTTCCTTCATTCTACCAAACCTTAGCTACTCTTGGAGCTAATAAGCTAAACCTCAGCTACTTCTGGAGCTAACAAGCTTAACCTGAGATACTCCTGGAGTTAATAAGCTTAACCTCAGCTACTCCTGGAGCTAATAAGCTTAACCTCAACTACTTCTGGAGTTTATAAGCTTAACCTCAGCTACTCCTGGAGTTTATAAGCTTAACCTAAGCTACTCCTGGAGCTAATAAGCTTAACCTCAGCTACTTCTGGAGTTTATAAGCTTAACCTCAGCTACTCCTGGAGTTTATAAGCTTAACTTAAGCTACTCCTGGATCTGATAAGCTTAACCTCAGCTACTTCTGGAGTTTATAAGCTTAACCTCAGCTACTCCTGGAGTTTATAAGCTTAACCTAAGCTACTCCTGGAGCTAAAAAGCTAAACTTCAATTTATCCAGAAGCTAAAGAATTCCTCAAATGTCGTATTCTTCACTTTCTGGTAATGGAATGATGCAGATATTAAGTTTTTTTAATTAAATAATTATATGGAGCACTTTAACACTTCCCGCATATATTATTTATTTTCGCAAATACTAAGATTTATGTAAAATAGTATATAACACATTGAAAAATTGTCTAGACGACATTTGATAAATTCTTTCGATGTATGGATCATCATTTAGGGTTTAACTGTAAGACAAAGCAATTGGGCAGTGTACAATTCACCTAGACCCATTTCTTTTAATTGATAGTTGCTTTAATGTATTTTTCCTATTCCACAGTCTTTTGATTCTTACTGCATTATCATTTTTATTCTTGTGTATGTTCTCATTTTAAATACATCATTAATATTGTGTCCTTAATTGAAAATATTGAAAAATATTAATTTTTTACAATTTATTAAGATGAAAACAAAGCGTTGGTAGGTATGCGACTGAGAATGCATGGCACTTCATAGCTATGTAAATAATCATAAATTTATAATATGTACAATTTAACATAAAAAAATCAGATATGATAATAAAATACATAATATATTTTGTACTTTTTATCATAGTTATTCAAGAATCCAGTCTTAGAAAAGGACGACATTCAGGGACGTCTTGACAAAGCAGCAGCGTTTATTCCCTCCTAAATATTATATCTGTTATCATTATAAATTAATATTAAAATCCCTCCCCCCCCACACTTTGAAAAAAGTACAGGATGTCCCACGAAACATGCGAGTTGGTAAATAATTTGGAATGTCTTCTTCCCTACGCTATCGACTTTTTGAATTTTTTTCGTTCATTAAAATCTTTTACTAAAATATATTTTACTTTGAAATCAATTTTACTATAATATGAATACCAAAAATATTCTTTTAATTCTCTTAGGTATTAAACAACTTAAGTAATTATGAAAGAAGACATTTTAAATTATTCACCAACTGTCATGTTTCGTGGGACACCCTGTATAAATTTTGTTTTCCCATTTATGCAGGATTTGATTTTATTTCATACTCATTCTTTCAAATTTTTATCTATTCATTCTTTTCATCTAAAACTTAAATTCTTTTTCATTTGACTCACCCTGAACTAACCAGGGCAAGATGCGTTCTACTTTTTATATATATATTCGAATTCAATCGCCTTTTTGGTCTTTAATTCAACCATCTTTAAATTTTCAAAGTTGCCTGTTTTACTTTTTCATAAAAAACACAAAAGTCAATTAAAAAGTAAAAACAGCCTAAGCGAAAAAAAACCCTGTTTAATTGGTCACATTTTTTCGAAAGTTACAGCTTGCTGGGACAAAGACCGAACTGTTGAAGATGCGTTGAATACCCTGTTGTACCCTAGTGTACCCTGTTGTACCCTGGTGTATCCTGGTGTACCCTGAAAGATGGAAAAACGACAATATCTTCCTCGTGTTACTTAGATAAAGGTTTAGGGATGCATTGAACGTTTTAATTCTTTTCTGGAAAGGGTCTCTGTATATTACGTCGAGAGTGCCCTTTACAGTAATCTATCCTCGACAAAAATACTGTTTTTCAGGTTATTTCATGTTAGAAATCACAATCCATGAAATTGGTATTTCTCATAAAATGAAATATATTGAATAAAAGTTTATTTAAATTTTGATGTGAAAATAAATTAGGCTCTTTTGTAAAGTTTTGGTTTTAATACAACAAAAAATAACACAATAAAAGCTATATTGAACCCCGCCATAAGTTAAACAAAAATTGTCATTTATAAAGACATAAAATATAACTTTAAACTACTTAGGGTTGTTAATCGTTTTTGAAAACGATCGTTAAACGATCGTTTTTTGTTTCGTTTTTCAATCGTTTTCGTTTTCTGAAAAAACGATCATTTTTAAAAACGACCCGCTCGTTTTGAACTTTTAGAAAACAAAAACGATCGTTTTTGGAAATACAATCGTTGTTTAAAAAAAAAAATTACATGAATTTTTATTGAATGTTGTCTTACATGAGGTGAAACAGTTGTGGGGGAGCTAAAACTTCTTGATATTTTCTTAAAAACTACTCAATGATAAGCATAGATGCCCTTCAGGTCGGTTTCCTCTCTTCGTTAACGATCGTTAATTAAACGTTGAGTTTATTAAAAACGATCGTTTTGATAAACGATCGTTTTAAAAACGACCATTTAAAAAAAGAACTTTAAAAAAACGAACGTTTCGTTTTTGATTTTTCGTCGTCGTTTTTAACGATGAAAACGAAAAGATCTTTTTGATCGAAAACGTTGTTTTTGAAAACAATCGTCATTCGTTTTTTCTAAAAACTAATGTACTTGTTAGTTTTGAAAAATCCGAAACGAAACTAAAAACGACATTTTTTCCCGAATGTTTTTAAAAACGATACTTATCTCTATTCCCACATAGTCAAAATTTAATCTTTCTAAACAGATATTTTGTTTAATTCTTATATATCAATTATTTTTATCTTAATATCTCTGATTATTAAAGATTATGTCTCATACTAATATATAAATTATCTATCTTTTTAAAGAAAAAACATAAATAATTGGGGGGCCTAAAAGACTTGAATTTTCAAGAGTATTCACATTTTAGTATGGTTCAAACAACCCCAGAATGCTTCAAATTACCTATTGCAGAGATAAGATTAAGCGATACTATGTATTTAATGACGTTAAATTTGGTTTAATATGGTTCCACATCCACACTCCGTAGATTTTAATAGTATAATATATTACAATCAAAAGCATCGGATGAAGGGTGACACTTGACTTCACACAACGGCAGTTATCAGTCTTATTTAGGAATTGGTGGTTTGTACGACAGTTAAGTACATTTTGCAGGGTGCCCCAGTAAACAAGAAAATTTAATAACGACCTTTTTGCATTATCTTTGCGGATTTGGCTATGATGAAGACATTATTTCTTACATGTCTGTCTGTTTTGTACTTTGGAAATTGATGGAGATATTAGTAGTTTGGTTTCAGCTTCCGTTCATTAAGGCGTTGTAATTTCAATTGACCCTTCCTGTAAAATAGGCATGCCGCCGATTCACAACGGTACCCTTTCAAACTTTTTAAATCAACAAATGTGGAAAGTGTTGAATCTTGACTATTTCTTCTATTGTTTCACTACTGACGGAAATCCGGAATTCACTTTTTCAAATCAAAAACATGAATATCTCATCGATCCTTGATCATATAAAGGGTTTTATATTACCTGTAGGGCTCTAAGGGACCCCCATCCAGAGGCTAGCCCCGGAAACCTGGAGGCCCAGTAGAGGTTGGCCTCAGGGCTGTCATAAACCCCACCACTACCGAGGTCAAGCGGGACTCCGAGGACAATTGTGAATATCAAACAAACCAGCAGACATACAAACAGCAAGGATTCCATCTAGATGAAACAATCTTTATAATAATTTTTTGAGGGAACTCATGGGTGCCATGGGGGGTCACATTGGCTAAAAAATAGATTTTTTTTTAAATTTTAATTTTTCAAATTCTACGAGCAACGCAGGGCACTTCAGCTAGTTATATACAGTGATAACCAGAAAACTTTGAAATAGGAAGACGACTTTTAAACTCAAGGACCTAAACTAGTTCAAGGAGCATTAGACATAGCAATTGTACAGTGTAAATAGACCCTTTTCACTTAAATTGTGCTTTGCTAAGTTACTAGTAAAAATATTTGCTTTGTAACAACATCAAAACCATTAAGTATTGCTACAATGTCGTCTTTCTATTCCATTGTTTTCTGGTTATCACTGTATAATAAAGCTCTTTGTCAAAATCAAATTTCCAATTGAAGCCTTTTTTGTATATTTTGTAGAACTATTTCAATTTTACATTCTTCCCTTTCACATTTTTAAATCATTTAAAATATGCTTCTATCCATACTCCAGAATGTTTTTATAAAAATTACGAACATTGTATCATGCTTAGATGCACATGATTAACATAATTAACATAATTAATCAAACTGGTAAAGGTTTTTAATTTGTTCATTACTTTTTGCAGGGACTGTAGATGTAATTTAGAGTGACAAAATGACATATTTGATTCACAATGATGGCAAAATCAACGAAAATATTTAAATTTATGATTTTGTCTGTCAAAAATTATTTATTATTTATTATTTATTATATATTAAACACATGCATGCACCTAGAAGAGCGAATAAAAATGACAGAATTCCAAACGTGTTAACCTTTCCAATCGGGTTATTAGCATTTTCGTATAATATAGTTGTGGGTTGGGCTTTTCGACCCCCCCTCTTTTGACAAGTTTAACAAGTTTAGCCCGCAAACTTGATTAAGAAAGTTTTAAAAATCATAAAAATGTGCCGGAAAAATATTTCATATTCTTTTATTTTTAACCTTTACATCAAACTTGTGCATCCACTTTTGAAATCTTAGATCTGTAGCTAGCTTAAATCTGTAGCTTAAATAACAAAAAAATGTATGGACTATTTTTGATTTGTCGAAGCACCAAAGACGTCCTCAACCCAAGAACCTATGCACTCTGAAGAAATATTTTCTATTTTCTAAAGTCGGAAGTAAAATAGGAAATGGTAAAAAGATTTAACGCTTTGGAGCCTTTAAACTAAGAAAAAAAAAAAAACATGTTTAGATATTCTAACAATTAATACGAAAAGTTCAAAGGAATTCAAAGTTGCAGGCTCTAGAAAAGCAAAAATAGAACTTTGCCGATTATTGCTTTGAAACATAAAGCTAAATCGCTTTATACTTCTGAGATGAGCCTGTACAGGGCTACACAACAGTATTTAAATGAGTTGGGGCATAAATCAAAGTCGATCCCAAATTGATGCCATTTCTCAGAGCTGTCCGGGTCTGTGATGCCATTTATCATAGCTGTCCGGGTCTGTGATGCCATTTCTCATTGCTGTCCGGGTCTGTGATGCCATTTATCATAGCTGTCCGGGTCTGTGATGCCATTTCTCATGCTGTCCGGGTCTGTGATGCCATTTCTCATTGCTGTCCGGGTCTGTGATGCCATTTCTCATGCTGTCCGGGTCTGTGATGCCATTTATCATAGCCGTCCGGGTCTGTGATGCCATTTCTCATAGCTGTCCGGGTCTCTGATGCCATTTCTCATAGCCGTCCGGGTCTGTGATGCCATTTCTCATAGCTGACCGGGTCTGTGATGCCATTTCTCATAGCTGTCCGGGTCTGTGATGCCATTTCTCATAGCTGTCCGGGTGTGACATGTGGTTCAAATAGCAGGAACCTGTTGTTTCACACTCTGCACATCTGTTTGTTTATCAATAAAGTAAAACTCACAATTACAACTGGTGTCTCAATAAACGTAGGAATCGATTACAAGCTTACAGGTACCTATACAGTGAGAACCGGAGAACTCTGGAATAGGAAGACTTCATTTAAGTTATAGTTAGGTGAATTTGATGTGGTTACAGAGCTAATAGTTTTAGCAGTAGCTTGAAAATCAACTGGATATTGATGTGCCTCTTGTTCTATTGGACTATTAAAAATCATAAATTGAGTATTAAAGTTGTCTTTCTATTCCAGAGTTGTCTGGTTACCACTGTACTATAGAGTATTTATAAATATGAATTTTATCATTTTAAAACAGAACAACAGTATGCAACCAAAACAAAATCAAACAAATTCTAAATTTCAGCAGACGGAAAAAAACATTCTACTAATTACAGATTTTCTAGTGGACATTATGCCATACTAAATACAAATCATGTACAAAGACAATCTCGAAATTATCACTCTATTTTCATTTTTTTTTGCGACAATCAATACCTCAATAGTGTTCAAAACGGCTAAACCAACTGGTCCCAAATTTCCCCAGGAAAGGTTTAAGGTAAATGTTTCGAAATAGGAATACGTTGCCAAGAAAAATTGTCGATTTCAAATTTGTTTGTTTGAAAATTCATCAATGTTAACAGAAAAATCTGCAAACAGTAGTGCTAATAAATTATGGCGACTTAAAAAGCAACATTTTAAACCGTAAATTTGCATTAGAAGCCCTGAAAGCCTATGTCTTTTAAAACTGAAAGAAGATGTATTTTATCTTATCATAACAACGAAGATTTTGCATGATCACTGCAGAACAAGTTGTTTTGAATTTGATTATATGAGGAGTCTGAGGAAAAATGTGTGTTGTGAAAATTGTCCAGCTATAACAGAGTTTTTATTGGTCTAAACTATTGTTTGATTTAATGGTATTAGATAAATTAGTGACATATTTCATGTCCTAATTTGAATGTAGGTTAAAAAATATATATATTTATATTTAAGAATTGTTAATGTTTTATTCGGTTTAACTTCCTAATTAACCGTATTTTGATAATTTAGAACAGTTCAAGGAGATTATATATTATAGATCTAGTTTACCTTGATTATTATTAGAACTCGTAGTCTTATCTCTGCAAGCAACTGACTCAACTAACTATAATTAAACTTTTAAAAATTTTGGTTTTCAGATTTTAGATAAAAATAAAAAACGTTTTGGCTTTTAACGATAATTATTATTTTTGTTGTAAAATAAAATCAAGGACCATACGGCATCGACAGATGCTCAATTTTCATTTAATTGTTAAAGGGAGTGTTCAGACGTAATTTTTCATGATCTTTTTATTTAAAATAATTGAATGCCTGATTCACAACAGATCTCTGTAAGCTTTTGTTTGAGCCAAACTGAGAAAGATATTCTTTTTTTTCTCTCGTAAAATTCAGAATTCAACAAGGATAAAGATTAAAAAACACGATGATGCCTTTCTTAATGTTGTAAAGATAAAAGTGTAAAGGGTACCATTTATCGTTAATCTATTATTGGGACCGGGGTTCTCTTAAATTTTTTTTTTAAAAATCTGAACCATTTGGAATGGAATGTGGGTTAGGGCTATAGAGCTAGGTTAGATGATTAATTTTGAGAGTTGGATTGATAGAAAGTTTTTATCAACTGTAAACAACTTTCACCTGAGGGTCCTAGCTAGCAGTGTTGACGTTCTAGAGCGAGCAACTGCACAACCGTTCCTAGCAAGCTCCAAAATACAACTGAGCATTAACTGAAGCTAGATATTGATAACACAGAGTTTCAAGCGCGCGCACAACATGCATGGATTATGAATATGAACAGTTTTTGGAACAGGCATATGGTCGGGGGCGTAGGATGGGTGTCATATATTATAAAGGCAACAACGCCCCCAATTAGAGATGGGCATCTGTGTTTTGGTATTAAACATTTAAAGGTTTCACGTTAAACTAATTACATCGAAATGCATCCTGTCTGTTTTTGAACACTTTCAGTCATATTTTAATCTCTCGTTCAAAATCCGCCAAAAAATATACGCAAAAGATAAATTGTTTAAACAAAGATTTAAACTAAAGAGCTAAACAATTAAGTTAAAATAAAAAAATACGAACATCTACATATAATGGGTGACAATGGTTCTAAAGTTGAGACTTACTAGGCATTTACCCAGGATCTCTAGTTTATCGTGTTTTGGCCTCGATCCATAACAATCATTGATGTTTATCATATTCATATTTCCTAATATAAAGGGTTACCCCCAAAGGATGAGACTTCAGACACGAATGTACTAATTTAAACTGTCTGTTTCCTTAAAATTAGGATTCAGGATTCTCTGCAATTGTGAACTTTTTTATTTCTTTGAGAAATCACTAAAAAATGGCATAAAGAGACTAAATTTGGAACTGTCATAATTACAGATTTTTAGCTCGTCTTCACAGTATCATCCTTTGTGGAAAACCCTGTACAGTATAAGTTTACCTTCATTTATATATTCAAAATGATTACGAGCGCTTAAAATATATTAGGTCAATAGACCATTCCTCAATGCCGCCCGTAGACATATTAGTTTTTTTTGTCTTTCTGTAACCATTGGATTTTCAATAAAATGGGAATTCTATTTTTCTATCTAGAGAAGCGTTTAATTCTGATTTTGATGGAGAAATCACAATTAAAGCATTCGAATTTTATAATTTTAAACATGGATAGCTTTTTTAGTCTGAATTATGCAAACAAAGCTTTTATGGTACCGTCGAACATTTCACTCTTTATAAAGAGATGTCTAACGAGTCTAACCAGAAATATGTATAGAAAAAGAGAGTTTGTGGCAAAAACTCAGTTCATTCATGTTGCAAGGTTGAAACATTTCAAGAGTGCTATAGATCTTACTTCATAAAGTGCATTGCAGTAAGAATATCCCCCTAGCTTGAAACTGTGAAATATCAATAAATATCAATCGTAGATCAAAACTGTATGATATTTTATTCGATTTCTTTTAATTTTAACATAGTTTTAGATTTTTTTATATATATTTACGGTCATCTTTTTTTCGGCGAAAAATTTCAAGGATAGGATTCCTTACAACTGTACATGTATTTATTTATAAACGATTAAAGGGACTGTAGGCATAATTTCAAATGACCCTCCATTTGTGGAGTGGCGTGTCCGATTCAAAACAGGACCCTTGAAACCTTGACTTATCAAGGATGACTGGCTATCCACATGAAACGCTTGTAATTGTTAAACACTGTTTTATATACAGGGTGTCCCAATAAAAATGGGAATTCAGTGACGAATTCGATATCGTCTTTTAAAACAATTCTTTGATTTAGTATAGTGATACCTACTGAGAAAGCTGTAATCCGTAAGATTAACGTCTGCTATACTTACAATTTGTTTGTTTATGTTTTGACTGCATACGGTTGTCCTTAATTACAGTTTACAAACAGAGTAAACTTGTCCGTCTTCAGTGTTCATCTTCCGGAGACATTATAGACACGTCTTTACAGCCATTTACCGATTTCATAAAATAAACTGGCAGACATAATGATATTTATGGCTTTTAAAATTAGGTATTTCAATGCTAATTCATAACAAATATGATATCAAATTCGTCACTGAATTCCCATGTTTATTGGAACACCCTGTATGAAAAATATTAATATTCACTTTCGCAGAAAATAAATATTTATATTTGAATTTTTAAAAAACCGCATTGAACATAGAATATTCGGAATTGTCGAGGAATATCTGCAATGCTGTGCTGTGTTCAATTGTTTACTTCAGTTCACGGCAATTAGAACACCACATTTTAGAGATAAACACACCGAGTTCTCTGTCCTCGATAATCAGTCAAAGGTTTCAATGGTATCGTTGAAAATTGGGCATTTCTCCTCTTTGCGTGGAGATTTGGTGGGTCACGTAACATTACACTTACAGTCCTTTAAACTCGCATAATTAATGACTCTTACTGTATGTATGTATTATGTACAGTCCTTTAAACTTGCACAATTAATGACTTCTTCTGTATGTATTTATTATGTAAAGTCCTTTAAACTTGCATAATTAATGACTCCTACTGTATGCATGTAGTATGTACAGTCCTTTAAACTTGCACAATTAATGACTTATTCTGTATGTATGTATTATGTAAAGTCCTTTAAACTTGCATAATTAATGACTCTTACTATATGTATGTATTATGTACAGTCCTTTAAACTTGCATAATTAATGACTCCTACTGTATGCATGTAGTATGTACAGTCCTTTAAACTTGCATAATTAATGACTCTTACTGTATGCATGTAATATGTACAGTCCTTTAAACTTGCATAATTAATGACTCTTACTATATGTATGCAACATGTAAAGTCCTTTAAACTTGATAATTAATGACTCCTACTGTATGTATTTATTATGTAAAGTCCTTTAAACTTGCATAATTAATGACTCTTACTGTATGTATGTATTATGTACAGTCCTTTAAACTCGCATAATTAATGACTCCTACTGTATGTATGTAGTATGTACAGTCCTTTAAACTCGCATAATTAATGACTCTTACTGTATGTATGTAGTATGTACAGTCCTTTAAACTCGCATAATTAATGACTCTTACTGTATGTATTTATAGTATGTACAGTCCTTTAAACTTGCATAATTAATGACTCTTACTGTATGTATGTAGTATGTACAGTCCTTTAAACTCGCATAATTAATGACTCTTACTGTATGTATTTATAGTATGTACAGTCCTTTAAACTTGCATAATTAATGACTCTACTGTATGTATGTATTATGTACAGTACTTTAAACTTGCATAATTAATGACTCCTACTGTATGCATGTAGTATGTACAGTACTTTAAACTTACTTAATTAATTACTCCTACTGTATGCATGTAGTATGTACAGTCCTTTAAACTTGCATAATTAATGACTCCTACTGTATGTATGTAGTATGTACAGTCCCTTAAGCTTGCATGATTAATGACTCTTACAGTATGTATGTATTATGTACAGTCACATATGGTGAAGTCTGGTTCCGCTAAGGTAACAAAAAGTTTCAAATCTTGCTGTATAATGTTAAAATGTAAATAAAGTCATGACAGAGAACAACAACAACAACAACAAAGAATCAAAAAAATAAAGAATGTACATTCATCCGTTCATAATCTTACAGTGTTTAAAAACATCGCAATTTTTTTATCTTTTTCGTCAATTGCGAAAAACAACCGTTAACGAAAGAAAATCTTTCGTTAACGCGGTTAATAAAATTGGGATCGTTAACTATAAATGGTAACTTTTTTAAACACGAAAATTACCATTAACGCAACGGACGTTCCGTTGTTCTTACCATATAAAAATAACGACTGCCTGAAAGTTTTCTGGTTTAACAGTTGTAACTAAACGTTAAACCCCCCCATCCCACGCATCTACGTAGAATAAAGTGATTTCCTGGTTCTCAATCTCATGATGGAGCATAAAGGCCAGAATTAATTTTTTCTACAAAACTTCCATTCGGCCATTTCCTTACAATACAAAGGACAAGTTACAGGGTGTTCCAAAATAAATAAACAAGTTTATAATTTATGAAAATAGGTTTCAGAACTCGCTACATATTGAAGGGCATTTTTATACAATTTGCGTTAAAGTTAAAATGGACATAGTGTTCATACCTCTTGATTCAGGAGGGGTCCTTGTTAAACATTTAATCTTCATTAATCTTCTATATATTTATACTTTGCATGTCTGTTCATTTGTATCTAATAAACGTAAAAACGGCTGAACCGATCGGGCCCAAAATTTGTGATGCAACGGTTACGAAGAGAAAATGCTTTCCGAAAGAGTCAAAATTCAAAGTTAAAATAGAAGAAGTCCAATAGGTTTTAAATGAGGCTACAAAAAATAAGACAGCCTTACAATTTTCAACAATTTACAATATTTAGGCTTATTTTAATTACATTTTTAAATATTTCCCCGGCCAATGGGATTAAGTTTTTGCCACAAACTTTGCTTTTCTAATCCCTTATCTTTCCAGCCAGACCTTAGATATTTCGAACTTTGAATTATGCAAGATATGAAACTCAAAGTTTGAAATATCAAAAGTTTACACCATTAGGGTGCAAAGATATAAGAATTTGAAAAATTATGTTTGTTAACTTGATGTTTAAATTTGTGGGGGGGGGAGGTGGATTCCTTCCCCTCTCGAAATAGAACGCTTATGCTTCATAAGAAAATGTGAACAAAATTTTGCAAAATTAAAGATAGGGCAAATCATAGGGAATCCCCCTCCCCCCAAATAAAAAATCAGACAAAAAAAGCTCAACCATTATAGGTTGAAGCAGGTTTAAGAATATAAAAATGAAATTCATTCCAGTTACGAGATACAGAAAATATGATAAGTCCATAACAAGAAATAGGATTAAAGAATACAGGATACAGGATCTTGGATACTAAATACAAGGTACACAAGGATGGTACAGAATATGGGGCTTAGTATACAAGTAAGGGATTCCACTCAAAATATAAGCAATTTAATAGCGGCCAACTTGATCTGTAGCGAGTTGGGGAAGGCAGGTGGCAATAATCCATAACATGTTCCCTTCCGTGCCACGTTTAAGTTTTTTGTCTTCCGGCAGCCATAAGCCACAACCCATTGGTCTTACATGCCAAAACATTCGAGTGTTCCGGCAATTTTCACTTTTAAAATAGTAAATAAAGTTCATTGAAATTGCGATTTTCAAAAATCAAGCCACGTCAGGCAAAATAACTAGTGCTATCCTTTCTGCACTTTAATTGGATCAGCCTGTGCAAATGTCATGTTCATCAGTGCCCATCATTAGTCTATAGCTTGACAAAAACACAACACTCCGGCCAGAATATATTCCCCTCAATCTTCTTGTAAAAATAAAAATTAAAAATTTCGAATTGTGTAAATGGAAGAAAAGACATCATTAACTGTTAGGAATTAGTTTTAATTATTATTAAAATAACTGTCATATGTTTCAAAATCTATATACATCAAACACACTAGATTGCAACAAGTATGATGCAAAACTGGCAAAATATATCTAATATCTTCTATAGACACATTTATATTTAAGTTTTAAATTGAAATAATTATCATTCCTTTTATGTAAACTGCAAAACTTCTGTTCCCAAAAAAAATCAATCTTTCCTCTCAAATGGCTTATTTTTGAAAATGTTAAGAACAATATAAATGATGGTACCCATAACCTAAAATTTGCAATATTTAACGAAATAAATGCAAATATTTTTGTTTGGTGGAAAAACGTTACGTACAAGTTCTGGCAGTTATTGTGATTTTTCTCATCTTTTCTTGTTACTCCAAATGATTTGTCTCGGTGCCCACAATGCGTACAATGATGTGAAATATAAAGCAGTTAATCAACTGAAAACACAATTTATTGATTTTTAATAAACTTCCAAATTTTTTTAAGGCATCATATTTCGCGTAATTCGGCTGGATTTTTGAAAATAGCAATTTCAGCGCAATAAATTTTTCATTTAATCAAAATAATACCGAGTTGTTAATTTTATTTTACCAATTCGGGTATTTTCGATCACTACGATGTCCTAATATTTCTATCTAAAAATAGATTTTTTTTCGATTGTGGTTTTTCTATTTAAGTGCTGACGGATTTTTAGCAGAAGTGAGAAAAACGACGATATCTCTTTTTGTTACTTATATGAGGTTCCCGTTGTACAAATTCAGCAATTTCCAATTTTTAGAACTTACCTGCATTTTTAGAAAAATCCATTGCAATCTAAAAATATTGAAAGCAATTTGTAAGAAATTCTATTATTAACAGTTATAACGAAATGTTAATTACAAGGTTTTTTTAAAACATAATACGCAAACTAATATCACAAGAGGAGATGAATACTTGCAACGCAATTCATTAAAAGAATGATTTTCTAACATTATGAGAAAACATTATTTTTTGATAATTCTTTATCATAGGTAAAACAAAAACACAAATAAAACAATGACATGATTAATAAAGAAATGATGATCTTCAAAAATAATTGAAATTCATTATAAAAATATTCTAATTTAAACAATGTAGGAATGACATTTCAGTGACCTTTAATAAAATGTTTCTTTTTGCTTTGTTTTCCTTTAAAAAAATGTATATTTACTCAAGAATTTTAAAATAATAAGACAATAAATGCTAAAACTTTTACTTGGCATAGCGCCAAGCCAAAAGCTACATTCACTAAGCTCAATATTCCCAATGCTAACTTACAGAATTTAAAAAAGAATAGAAATTAAAATTAAAAATAAAATTAAGGAAACTGTGTCCGACAACTATAATATAAGTCTGGAGGAGAACCAGTTTAGTGGATTGTCAGATTTAAAATTCATAATTCGTTCAAAAATTAACCAAGAACATGCTACGATAGTGTGGAAACAGCTCACCTTGCTATCCTTCTCTTCGGGGAATATTCTCTGTATGGAAGGAGACCAACGGGTAGCAAACAAATAGATGGTTACATATCCCGGCAGATCTTCATTCTTTCTGTAACAGCAGAGCTTCTGGATGTTTGTCCTCTGGGGTGCACAAGACACATTGATAAAATAAGACAAGTACAGAAGTATTGTCTTAAGGCACGAAGTGATGCTCTGCTGTGGCTGGTCACACCACAGCTGTCAATCATCAGACTCCTGAATATAACAAATATCAGTAGTCTGTGTGTATTGTCGCTCCCTTTCTTTTAAAAATTGTACTTTATTATAAAATTTTGCCCCTTTCTTGAGGGGTGCCCTGTGCCGTCATTATTGTTATTGTTTTTTTTTGAATAGTCCTGTGATTTTTTCCTTCAGTGTTGGTTTTGGTGTAGAGGTTACTGGGTAACTCTGAATTGGAGGTGGTGAGGTAAGATCTATTGGAAGAGGATTAAGATGAGAAAAGTTGTACACTCTTCCTGGTACTACGTTTGAAGGATAGTTTTCTGATGTTGTGACATGTGTTGGGAGGGGACATAGTTTGTCAAAGTTAAATACTCTTGAGCTATCTACTGTTACTGGATAAAATTCTGGATAAAGTTCTGAATAAAATAGAGAATCTGTTGCGTCCGGCGTGTCAACGAAAGCTGCGTCTAGTTCAGATGGTGGAAGAAAATCATGATCTTCATCCCAGTTAAGTGATGATGCATCTGAATGATGTGAAGCAAGATCGAATACATCATCTCTTGTGTAATCAAGAGGGGATATAACTCTGTTATCTGTACTAATATTTGATCTCATATGATCTTTGTACATTTTGGTAATTTTTTCCGTGCATTTCACAGCTGCTTTTCTGGGTGTTCGATGATTTTCTGTAAACCACATTTCTTTTATTTTTGGTCTGGCTCCTGTTGCTCTTGGTGGGGTATTTATTGTCTCATTATTTGGTAGTGTTGCATCATCATTGTGAGAGGTTGATGATTCTGTATTGTGAGAGGTTGATGATTCTGTATTGTGAGAGGTAGATGATTGTGTCTGGCTGCTGGAGTTTGAAGTGTGTTGTTGTTTGTTTTCTGTTTTTTTTTTTATTGGTTCGTCACTGTCAGTATCTGAGTCCGAGGTATTATGTTTAATTGGATCCCAAGGTTTTGGTAGGTTTGTTTTGATTGATTTTAATTCTCGTCTTGGGGGGGAAGTTCTGTATGTTCTTGAGGTTGTTGATTTGTGAACTCGCATTACTTTGTCGATTGAGATGTTGTTTGAGGCATTTCTTAGTTGAGATGGTTTGTTGTTGAGTGGATTGGTGAGTTTCTGAACATTTAGCTGTTTTCCTGACCTTTCCGTGACTAGAAGGGTTTCACGGATATGGTGTTTTTTTGGGTTTTCAGTCAGCATTACTATATCTCCTGGTTTTATGTTTATTTTAGGTGTGAGTGGTGGGGTTTTGTGGCTGTTCGTTCTTGTTTCTAGTTGGTTATTTGCAAGTTTCTTATCATCCAATTGTAGATTTGTGTTTGATAACCTGTCTCTGGAGAACATTATATCAGCTGCTGACAGTTGACCTTTTCTTCTTAGTTTGTTGTTGATAATGTTTATTGCTAAGGAGAGAGTCGTTTCATTTATTGGGGCTTCTTCTTTGACTATTTTTTTTAGTTCTGTGTTGAGTTCTGCTATGGCTTTATCAACACAGGCATTGGAGTTTTTGTTGAGTGGACTGCCTATTTCCAGTGTTATGTTGAGTTGTTTAAGTTGAGAGTTTGGTTGGTTGGCTAGTGATTTGAATGCAGGGGCTCCATCGGTTCTGATCAAAGTGTGGTTGGGGTGTTTGATGGTTTGTGTTATTTTAATGATTCCGTCTTGTAGGCTGGGTATGGTTTCGTCCGGTATGAAGGCGGCAGTTGTGAATCCTGAGAATTGATCACGGCAAACTATGATCTTCTGTTTGGCTCTTCTGAGAACATCTATGGCTAAGTGTGTCCCGGGTTCAGTTGCATTAGTTTGGGTGTTAAAGGTTTGTAGTTGTTTTGGTAGAATTTGAACTGATTTGCATAGTTGACAATTGGCATACATGTTTTCAATGATTGAAGATGAGGACATAGTGAAGAAATACTTGTTGAAAAATAGCTTCATTTGTGATTTGGCGGGATGCTGAAGTTTTATATGGAGTTGATTGAGGAGTGATTCAGCATATTGTGATGGGATAACAATTCTTTCTTGTTTGGTGGAGGATAGAGGGATGGTGTGTTTTACGACCAGCAGTCCATCAGTTGCGATTGTAGCTTTGTCTGCAATTTTTCTTGTTTCAGAATTGGTTTTACCTGTTTTCTTTGAGGGGGTTTGGCCTGTTGTAAGGCAGGTAGTGGCGTTGATACATGCTTTGTCTTTCAGTTGTACAGCTTTCCATGCTGATCTATTCATGAAGGATGCTGTTGATTTTCCAGAGATGATGTCATGTACGGCATTGAGTTTGACATCAATGACAGTATCAATGTGTTGGTTGACATAGTTGCAGATTTGACATAGATCAGCTGAACATTCTGTGGCAGATCTTGATTGAAAGTCACCTGCTGCATTTTGTCCTGATTTTCCGGAGACATGCTGGATGTCATATGAAATTTTGCTTAGGTTATTAAGGAATGTTTGGATCCTTGGTGAAAGGCTGAAGTGACCTTTGGCAATCTTGTTTGCAGCATCAATGACAGTTTTGCTGTCTGGACAGATGATGACTGGTTTGTTGGATTGCTTTATATAATCATAGAAAGCTTCAATAGCTGTTCCAACAGCAGAGGCTTCTATTTCGCACGGAAACCATTTGGTTACATGAGGTTTTAGTTTGACTGAGTAGAATCTGACAGTTTTGATCTGTCCAGATGGTGTTCTAGCTTGAAGAATCATACCAACTGCTGGTGGAGTTCTGGCTCCGTCACATGTAATGATTAGTTGGTCTTCAGCTTGTGGGAGGTATATGTTTGTCATGCTGTCTATATGTAATTGTGCTTTATGGAATCTTTTTGTAAGTTCTGGTGTCCATGTTACAGCGTCTTTGCTGTCTTTACCACCCGTGATTGTGTCAAAAGGGGTCTAGTATGGAAGTGAGGTTAGGAGTACAGTCCAGGAAGGTTTTGTAGAGCCCAATCCATGATCGGAGATCTTTGATGGTTTTGATATGTTCTGGGTGAACATCAGCGAGTGCTTGTTTTCGGTGTGGAGATGGGGATAGAAATCCGCCTTGATTCCAGACCCAACTAAGGATGTCAACTTGTTTTGGAAAGAGCACTGTTTTCGATGCCGATATTTTGAGGTTATTTGCCTGAAGGATGTTCATGAGTTCTTTAAAGTTTTGAATTGCATCTTCTATGGTTTCTCCTCCAGTGAACATGTCATCTGCTATTTTGACACATTTGCCTGCTTGTAGGGGCTTGTGTAGTACTCTTGCTAATAGTTCATCTTGTTCTTCAGTTTGCCCAAGAAGTCCTTGGATGCTTCTCTTGAAGTATCTTATTCCTCCATATGGTGTTTGTATTGCGCACCATTGATAAGCATCTGGATGTAAATGGTTTTGGAAAAATCCTTGGTACAAGTCTGTTTTGATGATGTATTTCCATTTAGCAATTCCTGCATAGACTTCCTGAGGTTTGGTCACTTTGGTTGGGAGGTTTTTCAGGTGTTTGCTAATAATATTGGCGTTTACTACTAGTCTGACGTCTTCTTTTCTCAGCTCATTGTTGGGTTTGTTTTTAGCTTTTTGTTTTTTTCTGAGAAAGCAGGGTGCAACACATTGTACAATAATGTTGTCCTCTTGGGGAATGCCTAGAACATTTTGATGAGTTAGTTCATCACATAGTTCTTGGAGAAGACCATTTAGTTGTGAGTTGTAGGCTGGGCATAATACCTTTTTAGAGCTTGGACGCTGTTCATTTGCCCAGTTGAGTCTACAAAAGTGTTTTCCTGAATTATGATTGTATCCTTTTGAGAGATCATTGTTGAATACATCTTTGTTGACTTCTAGTGTCTCTTGTACGATTCTAAGTTGTTTTGCAGTTAGTGCGGATTTGTTGATTTTTATTTCATGGAGATTGTTGTTGTTGCATGTGGATTGTTGTGGCATGTATTTGTAGTCTTTATCTTTATCATACATGTCCTTTTGCTGAACTTTGTTAATCTGGAATTTGTGTGGGTGTTTTCCAGGGTGAATGGGCTTGTTAAGATTGTTTTCGATCTCTATTTCACCATTATTAATGGTACATATTTGAGGAAGTGGCCAGGTGGCAAGTTTGTTTTCTAGTCTTGGTTCAACTGTTACTTGTGTGTAGTCTGGAAGTGGAACCTTAATTTGAATTGTTTGTTGAGGTAGAATGACTTTGTTGAGTTTTTCTGAAACTATTATGTTGTTGACATGTGTTGGTAGCGTAATATTTCTATTTGTTTCAGGGACTACATACTTTCCTAGAATGGTTATGGTTTTGTTATTGATGCTTTGTTCTACCTTGTTGTCTTTCATGAAGTTGTTCCCAGCTATTGTGTTGGTGTGGAGATTTGGGAGAACTAGGGCATGGAAGTCTACTACCCAGTTGTTTCTGTTCAGCTGTTCGTGTATTTCTCCAACTGATTTTAGGACTGTTTTGTTGTCGGCTAATTTTGCTAGCTGGGCATTCGGATATATTGTCCAGTTCATTTTTTTTGCAAATTCTTGCTTAACGCATGATACCCATGATCCTGTGTCTATGTCTAGGTGAATTAGTTTGTCGTTTTGGTAAAGTGTTAGTATTTGTGACGGCACAGGGGAGATATGATTAATAGATGGAAATACCTGTTCATGTTCGTGCTGAAGTTGGTGTTCATCCTCCTCATAACCGTGCATGATTGCTATCATGTTTAGTTCATCATCTTCGGAGGGTACTATCTGAGCCATTTTGATGCCTTTGCTCTGAAGGCCTACCTTGTCACGTTCTGATAGAGATGGACATGTCAGGTCACCTATTTCATGGGATGTTACAACCTGTTTTGGCCGCCGGGATACATGACAGAGTCTACAGAATTTCAGGTTGATTTGTGCACTCTGTGGACGGTTGGGTTTGGATTGACGGTAGTTTTGGCGAGGTTTGGGGTTGAATCTTGTGTTGGAAAGTTGATATTGTATAGCGTTGAGTGGGACATCTGCATTGTCTAGATCCTCTATTATTTTTTGCGCATTGGAGAGGATATCTTGCTTGAAATCCATCAGAAACTTCTCATTTTCCATCCTGGGACCATAGATTTCTCTTATTTTACTGGGCAGTCTGCTGTCAATTAGTTGCAGGACTGACAAGAGAATGTGATCCTCGAATGTTGGGGATAAGGTTTCCTGGGTTGGTAATGTTAGATTTTTCCATTTTACAACCGTGCCAGATGGTTTCATGTTCTCCAAAATCTTTGATCTGTATGCATTGTAGACAGTTGTTGCTGACATTGTGGATGGGTCCCATTTTATATCAACTATGTTGAGGAAGTCTTTCCCTCTGTGGGTGATTTGGTAGATATTCTTGATCTCTTGCCAAATCCATTCAAAGCTGGTAGCTTGTTGTAGGATGGTCATATATTGGTCTTTATAACAGCAGCCTGCTGTTATAGTGAGGAAGTTGTGAAGTTGTCTTCTTCTGAGTCCAATTTCACCATTTTCATCTGGGGTTCCAAGTTGCAAGATTCTTCTGTCGTCGACTTCTGCCGCGATCCATGATGAGTATGTTCCTCTGGATGTGAAGAGTTCAAAGCTTTCATCTTGATTGAGATAGTTGATCAATTCATTTTTCCAGGTTTGGAAATCAGTATCTGTGACGCCATCTCTAGGGAGACGCTCCGGTTTGCTGATTTTAATTTTACTCATTATGAGGTGGAGAACAATGAAGATTTATTCTGTAGGACCGCTTCGCCGAAACGGAACTGAGGAGTTGGAGGGTGCTGAGCTACCGCTGCCACCACGATAGTGTGGAAACAGCTCACCTTGCTATCCTTCTCTTCGGGGAATATTCTCTGTATGGAAGGAGACCAACGGGTAGCAAACAAATAGATGGTTACATATCCCGGCAGATCTTCATTCTTTCTGTAACAGCAGAGCTTCTGGATGTTTGTCCTCTGGGGTGCACAAGACACATTGATAAAATAAGACAAGTACAGAAGTATTGTCTTAAGGCACCCCAGGGGTCAAACATCACGAAGTGATGCTCTGCTGTGGCTGGTCACACCACAGCTGTCAATCATCAGACTCCTGAATATAACAAATATCAGTAGTCTGTGTGTATTGTCGCTAGAAGTTGCATCACAAGGAAGAAAATTGGAAAAGAAGAAGAGTAGTGCAGAAAATGATGTTCAACTGTTTAATTGCTTTGACCATCATCTTTTTACTTTGAACATACATATTGTTCAACATTAAAATTTGGAGAAAAAAAAACGTTAAAATATACATAATTTTTCGTCTCTGATCCTTCAGGACATCTGGATATTTCGTGGAATATTATTTCTAGAAAGGTGAGAAAGACCTTGTTGATGTAAATCATGTCTGTGCAGATCTAAGACATGATTATGTAAGTCTGTTTGATGGATGTGATCCCTATTGACTAGTTGTTGGTGTATTTGCCTACTCGGATCATGATGAGCCCCATCATGGCGTAGAGCTGGCCGGGGATGGTTTGTGTTCAAATTGTCTTGGACTCCATGTTTCTGGAACATGTGTTTCTTCAGTTTATCTTGTCTTGTTGACGAATATTCACAGTTATCACATGTATATCTTAATCCCTGGTGCTGGATTTTTATGTGATGATTTAGATTACTTATAAGGGTGGCAGAGTAATCACAGTGATCGCATTTGTGCCTTACACCTTCATGTTTACTTTTTTTGTGATGCTTTAACATTGGAAGTCTGGTTGCAGAGTACTCACATTTATCACAAGGATAACGTACTCCTTCATGCAAATTACGTATGTGTTCTTTTAAATGTGATACATGGTTTGCTACATACTCGCATTGATCGCAGGGAAATTTAACCCCTTCATGGACCCTTCTCTTGTGTTCCTTCAGACTGTACGTTGTAGTTGCAGCATATGAACAGGCATCACAGGGATAAGTAACACCTACATTAACAAAACATTTTGATTATCAGATCTTAATTTCGTTTTAGTTAACAACTTAAAAACTTTTATCAGGGTTATTTATCACCTTTTCCTAAACCACAAATTCTGGGATAACAAAGATTAAGGTCGGGGGGGAAAAAAAGTTTAAGATAAAATTTATAACAAAATGTTTGTAATTCCTTCGTGCTTGTTCTGTTTGTGTGCTTTTAATTTGGGCAATTGTGTCGCGACATATGCACACTGATCACATAAATATTTAACTCCTTCATGTTTACTCTTCTTGTGTTTTACCAGATTCGACCTATGGGTGGCTGCATAATCACATTGATCACAGGGATATCTAACTCCTTCGTGTTTAGATCGTTTGTGTTCTATTAAACTCCCCAGCTGTGCTGCTACATGACTGCACAAATCACAATTATATTTCACTCCCTCGTGTTTACTTCTCTTATGTCTTTTCAGATCAAACATTGTTGTTGACGTGTGTTCACATTCATCACAGTAATATCGAATACCATCGTGCTTAGAGTTAATATGAACCTCAAACCATCGCACTTTAATATTTCTCAAACAAATTTAGAAAATTGATATAAAGTTGTCCAGTAATCCTTTGAATCTTAAGTTTACTGTTTTTCACGTTCGTTTACCCAGAAAAGATGAGATTATTCAATTTTTACATTCATGGGTCACTGCAGCTGTAACCTTCTTACGGGGTCATATAAGTCAGTATACCATAAAAATTTTTGGTTAACCGACTTAGGGTCAAACGACAAACGGTCAAAAACGCGACAAAAGGTCAAAATGGAAAAAAATATTTTGTGTATTATTTCAGGATTAGTTTAAGATAATTTCTTGGCCGAGCGCTGCAACTTGGACAGGCTATAGGGGGCCGAGCGCTTCGGGTACTAGTTCTAATGAACATAAAAATAGTCTAGATGAAATTTTGCCCGTTTGTCGCACTTTTTGACCCTATATCTTTGACCATTTGTCGTTATACCATTAGTCGCGTTTTTGACCGTTTGTCGTGTGATCCTAGGTCGTTTTACCCTATGTCGTTTGACCCTATGTCGATGAATAAAATTTTTGGGGAACATCTGTTAGTATTAAATGAGTTTCAGGTCGTCATCAAAGTCTCGTACTTTGCAGGTGACCCTGTACTTAAAGGGATTGTTCACCTGTAAAAAATACACACAATTCCCTAAAATCTAAATATCTATTTCTGGAACACAACTAAGCCTGACTCACCAACCAAATGTGTTCATGAGCGCAAGAATGTCCAAAACTGAGAAAATCTCGCTTTAAGGTGTATTTCACGGATACTGCAGCAAGATATTCAACGCGCCTAAAGCTAATAATTTATTTTCATAAAATTTTTCTAAAATTTGCTTGTAGGTTGCGCGAATTTTTGCGAAAAAATTTATTTACGGTGGAATCCCTAGTTCAAATTATTTAGAAAATCCATGAGATTCAAATATTTGTATTTTGAAAAAGATGAACATTGTACAGTCCCTAGAATTCATGTTTCGATCAAGATTTATCAATATGTGGAATGATGTAATGCTTATTATCAGACCCTTGAAATATGAACATAAATACACCAATGTATAAATTGATAATTGTGTTAAAAAAAAAAACAGAAGAAAAAGTGCGATGCCTTGAGCTGAGAGAAATGTGCAGCAGTGTAATCACATTTCTCACACGGGTACCCAATCTCCTCCAATAAATAAATATGGATTTTAATAATTTTCCAAAAACAACCAAATCCAAAAATTTCTAATGAAAATAAAATAATTTCATTTTTTTATTATTATTTTAAAAAAAATATTTAGAACAATGAATTCACTTTCCTTTTCCTCCAAATAATTATGAATGGTTTGGATCAGTATTTTAAAATTTTTTTTTCGCTGAAACTTAATTAACCATTAAAATGTATAAAAAAATAGACACATATTATTAAACATAAATATTAAATAATCCATTCGGAAGTAATATTTGCACCTCAAAAGGACTGTTCGTAGTTTCAAGCAACCCTCCATGCAAAGAGGGGATTGTTGATTTACAACGGTACCCTTAAACCCGCTCAGCGGAATTTGCAGCTGATCATACAAGCGGATTTAGATATGTTTACACACACACACCTCTGTACTCGACGAACATACAAAGGTTTTAAGGGTACCGTTGTAAATCGGGCATTCCCCTCTTTGCATGGAGGGTTTAACTTGAAGTTACGCTAACAGTCCCTTTAAAGGGACTATTGTTGTAATTTAAGGTGACGCTCCGTATGAAGACAAACATGGATGACTCATTCATTATAAATCAATCAAAGCTTTGAATCGGATTTTTAATTGAAATTGTGTTTACAGTCCCTTTAATATGCCGTACAGTGGGGAAAACGAAAATGTGAACTTTAACCCCCCCCCCCTCCCTAAAACAATGATCTAACATACTAAAGCGGGGAAAATTACTTTTAAACCGAATTAAAATTTAATTTACCTTGTGAACCTTTCGTTTGTGCTTCTTCAAGTGAACCAACTTTGACGCAACAAATTCACAATGCGAACATTGGAAAAAATTGTCGGAAGAGAATTTATCCTCAGCAGGGTCCAAACTGTTTTCGGTTTCGTCCTCTAAGTCCCCAACCCAGTTCTCATCATCTTCTGAAGTTTATCATTCAGAGATAACAAATTTAATATAAATAAATGTTTTACCGCATTCGACCAATATTACCGACCTATGATTCCCCATCAGATGGAGGTCAAGTTTCTTAACGCCCCTTAGGACAGCTATGTAAAATAACTTGCTCTGCGAAGTTTTCGGGAAAAAAATCGGGAAATTAAAGATTTTACTTAACCATGGCTTCCCTCGACCGATTTTGGCTTAAAAACATCACTCGCTGCGCTCTGGATGTTCGTTAGGCAAGATTGGTCTTGGTAAATTAAAATTCCATTAACTTCCCTGTAAAGTAGTTGTAAATAATTACAACCCCAATCCCGGTGAGGGGATGGGTTCGTCCACCCCAATAGTTTTTATTATTGACGTAAAAACAGTTTGTAAAGAAAGCCCGACCATGAGTAGGTTTAATNCATCATAATTCATCTACCTCTCTTTAAAAATCCCTGCGCCCCGGCTTCATCATTACATTCAATTTTGAGTTCTACAATCGGTTGAACATACTCTTCATCTTCGGTTTCATTTCCTCCGCTGTCGTTGATCTCATGATCACCATTCTCAAGATCAGTATCATGGCTCTCATTAGTCTCAATAATCTCAGCTTCATTCCTCCTTAATCTTCTCCGGTCTGGCCGCTGTTGGGTCCGAGATTTCTTTCTTGCCGGCCTGTCATCTGCAGATAAAAAAAAATGCTACTCCGTGTTTACAAAGAAACTAATGTTCCCTGGGGAAAGAAACGAATTTCTAGAAAAATTGGAGGAATATAAAAAAAATAATTGACAGTTTAACAAAAAAATGCTATTTGACCAGAGCTGGGAGCTCTTGTATTGTGGATATCGAGATCACTGATTGATCTAGATCGATCCAAAGTGTAATTATACCCTGAAAGGATATCCGAAATGAAGAGATAAAAATAAAAGTGCCCATAGTGGATATCGAGGCTAAGCGATCGGGATTATAAGTATCCAACAGAAAGGTTCCCAGCTCAGTGGTAAAAAACTGTAGTAGTATAAATCCCGTGACCGAATTTCAAGCATTTATACCGCGTCGCTGAACCGTCCAAACCGGTTCAAATTGAGCGTCGGCTCAAATCTCAAAACACTGAATACAATTTCAAGTGGAACCAACCATGTTTGCAGAGTCGTGTCTCAAATTCAAAGAGAGGGGTTATGGTCCATTCAAAACTGTGTTCTTGAACCCTTCTCTCAGCAAAAATTGTGTCAATTATTTTTATTAAAAAATTGATAATTTTCAATCGAGGTTTATCTTGCGAATTTATGCAGCAGAGTTAAAGAAAAAACTGCAAGAATTTCAGAAAGAAAAACGTCGATGCTTTCCTAATTGCTGCTCGATTAAAGGTTTAAAGGGTATCGTTTTGAATCGGGCATGCACCTTTTTAATGACGGGTTACTTAAAATCAGTCCTTTTAAAATTACGTCAACAGAGTAAAATAAAAATGTAGTTTAACCTTTTAGATGGTAGTATTTAGTAATCTGTACCTTTAGATGGTAGTATTAGTAATCTGTACCTTTAGATGGTAGTATTAGTAATCTGTACCTTTAGATGGTAGTATTTAGTAATCTGTACCTTTAGATGGTAGTATTTAGTAATCTGTACCTTTAGATGGTAGTATTAGTAATCTGTACCTTTAGATGGTAGTATTTAGTAATCTGTAATCTGTACCTTTAGATGGTAGTATTTAGTAATCTGTACCTTTAGATGGTAGTATTTAGTAATCTGTACCTTTAGACGGTAGTATTAGTAATCTGTACCTTTAGAACTCTTTATAGAAGGCAGGTGATGACTTTTCTTAAGTCTGGAGACTAGAAACTCAAGATTTACAGATTCAGTATTTTCTGGATTCAAATCTACCAATACATTCCGAACCTAAATAATAAATAAAAAAACTGATATATCATATAACTAGAACTCCCTTCTACTCTAAAGAACCCCCTCCCCCCCTATGTTCAATAATACCTAAATAATCCTAAATTGCACATCTTATGAAATAATTTTTATTGAACTCTCATTTTCGTATTGTTTATTTGTATTTGGGTTAAGTTAGGTTAAAACAAATTCTTTGCCCATCGCTTCCATAAGATCTAATATATATATGGGTATTAGAGGGGGGGGGGGCGGTGCCTACTTTAGTATGAGTTTTAAATAAGTAATTCTACTTAGTAGCTTAGAATTAAGTAAGCCTCGTAAAGATTAAGTATTTTGAGACATTTTAAAAAATAACAGAAAATTTTGCATTATCGTTATTTCTTAATTGTAATTATTATCATTATTATTTTCAATATTATTATTATAAATACCAACCTGAGATTCTGGAATATTCGAGGAGTGGAGTAGCTTCAACATTAAAATCTTATCTGGGTAAATGTATCCTAAGACAAGAAAAAAATAGCAGAGGTGATTTTTTTAGAAAATTACCCCTCTCCCCTACACCGCCCAAACCTGGAAAAATGAATAAAATTGGAGGGAAAAAATAAAAAAACTGTACATCAACTTACAACTTCCCACATTTTTGGATCTTTCCCCTTATAAAGAATCATTTTTCAACAATAATTTATTCTAAAAACTCTTTTAAAATGAAAAAGACAAGTATTTAAAAAAAAATAAGTAAAATTGATGAGGAACACCGACCGCCATTGGAAGCAGAAGGGGTGGTAACATCACTTAAATGTGCTATCTACTTAATTGAACGCCCCCCCCCCCAATTAAAGAGTAGCTGGCCAACAACAAGGTAGATATCGTCTTTATCTATCTGCTAAATTTTGAGAGTTTTCTTCTTCGTCTTTCCCGTATAAATCCGCAAGTAGATTTTAACAAAATCCCGCAATTTGAAATCATCAATTTTCAGTTAGAAAACAAGAATAACATCATGATGTTTGAAAACATATACGATGGTTTCAATGGTACCTTGTGAATTGGGCATCTAATAAGGGTCACCAAAAATAAATATTCCACAGCGGTTTTTTCTAAAGAAAATACCTGCACTCTCCAACTTTACTCTTCTCATGTTCCAAACAAACACAAAATCAGAGAAACTTTCCTAAAGTTAAAAATATTTTAGGAATTTTCAGCAAATTTTTCTAAATTGAGAAAAAAATTTTAACCATTTTGACCCTTTGATGGTTAAGTATAATCTGTTTTCAATTCTAATCATCTATATATAATAAAGTTCTTCGTTCAAATATATATATCTAAATAATCAGCTTCAAACTAAAACATTTTAATATATTTCAGGATCTCAATATATACTTTTATATATATAATATATATGTTAGCTATAGCTGGTCAAACGGCTTTCCTAAATGGGCTGAATTTTTTAAGGACCCCATGGATACCCTGGGGGTAACATAAGCTAAAAAATCTAAATATTTTTTCTTAAAATTGGATTTTTTTTCTAAAAATCGATTTTTTTTCTTCAACAATTCTTTTTTAAACTTGAAACTTTTTTCTAGTGATTCTAAAATTACACGGTCAAAGCCGGGTACTTCAGCTAGTATTTACTATTATAGTCTTGGTTCCAATGGTTCGTGTTTTCGGTGCAAATTTGGGATATTTAGATTTTTAGAAAAATTTTACAGAAATTTCTCCAGGAAAATTTGAATATTATTGATGCCGTTAAGATTAATATGATTTAGACAAAAAAAGTAGATAGATAGAAAGCATGAGATAATAATATAAAATTAATGTGTAGAGAGTGAAAACCTTTGAACGCTTGAATTCTTCAAAATGCTTGAACGTT